GGATTAAGTTTTTAACTCTTTTACTAATTAGCTTTTTTTAATTAAGTTTTGGGATTAAATTTGTCTTGGTTCTGACCAGCCATTACGATGCGACACGTGCATATGCACTCTCGAAGCTTGCCAATGTTCTGCACACCAAGGAACTTGCTCGGAGACTCCAGGTTGATGATCATTAAAAGACAAAATCCTTGTTTAGAATCATAAAAAAAAGTGTATTTTTGTTTTCTTCATAATTTCATCAATAATATATATTTTGTTTAAAATTACCAATAACATTTTTTTTTTTTTCATTTTGGCAGCAAATGGAGGCAAACGTGACAGTAAACTGTGTCCATCCAGGAATAGTTAGGACCAGACTCACCAGAGAACGCGAGGGCCTTATTACAGGTTTATTTCATTTCTTAATAACTAGCTAATTAACTTTAAAGTTTATAATTAGTTCGCATATTTTAATTAGTTTACTGAAAAATCTTTCTTTAAAAAACATGTAGATCTGGTGTTCTTCTTGGCTTCCAAGCTCTTAAAGACAATCCCTCAGGTAATTATATATAAATCCAGTTCATTTCTTAATCTTCAAAGTTTGCACAAGTATTCTGTAATGTTATTGTATAATTGTTCCGATCGCTATAATTTTTATTGTTAATTTAGAAATGATTTAATTTTTTTTTTCTTTTGGGCTATTTTATAGTCATTATTAACTATTATTATTAATTAATAATTGTTTAGGCTGCCGCAACGACTTGCTATGTTGCGACGAATCCGAGGCTGACGAAGGTGTCTGGGAAGTACTTTGCTGATTGCAATGAAACGTCGCCGTCGAAAAGGGCTTCCAACTTAAGCGAAGCAGCTCAGTTATGGACTGCCTCTGAAATTATGGTTTCTAGAGACCCCAAACCAATTCTTCCTGCAATCAGCGCCTGAGCCCCACAAGAAAAGTTAGAAAAGTACATGAATTACTAAAGAAAATATAGACATGAAAATAGTATCCATATGCATTTGCATGGTTATATATATGCAATATCATAAATATTAGTTGTTAATCTAGAGAGATAGATGTAATCTATATATTATATATATTGAGAAACCAAACGTAGGTAGGAAAAGAAGGAATATGTCACCAGAATATACGATATAGACAGCTTTTAATATAGTAGCTTTTAGTAATATGTATGAGTTATATGATGATGGTAAGGGATATATATAGATATAATTATATGAAAGAAGGTTTGTGTAGTGTTTGTATAATATTATCGTGGCTGCTGTTTTGTATTGAATTTTGTTGGCACTTGTAAGTTATGCAAGTTGTTTTATTGAGTATTTTGGGTTGGACTTATCATGAGACTTTGGTACAATGATACAATAATCATGGAACAAAATTTGATTTGTTATATTATTGGGATTTGATTGAAGAAGAAAGTTATTGGAAACCCTAGTTGGGTACACTTCTATTGTTTTTAACTTTATATTAATGGAGTATAGTACACACACGTATGAATAAATAATGATGGTTTATTTATATTTTTATTTATTATATAATGGAAAATATGAAGAATAAGTGGGCATTAAGAGGATGGGGTCGGTTAAGTATGTGGTAGGTTGATTTTTTGAAGAATATCTTCGGGGTCTTAGTGATGGTATGGGGCCTACTAACATGCCCCAGGGTTTTATGGAGCCCAATGCATGCGTTTAAGGAAAGAAAGATCAAGAACATTTATATATTTTACACGATCCCTTCTCATATATAAACACTGTTTCCCACTTTTTTTATTCTTCACTATGTACATATATGTGTGTGTGTGCGCGCGTGTTATATGATGAAATATATATATATATATATGTGAGAAATATTTGTGGTCATATTTTATGGTTGGAGCCAAATGTCCTAAAAAAAAAAAATTTATTATTTGGGGGCACTGAAAACAGCGGCAATATATATGACTATGTCGTAGTGCTGGTAGGCTGAAAAAAGAAAATTAAGGAACCATATGTGTGTGTATATATATACACATACAGCTTTATCAAATTAGAGCGCCATAAGAATTTGAAATTAAAGGTATTATGTTTATGAAAGTTCTAGTTTGATGACTGTTTCTATCATTATTCTATAAATGGTATAGCAATTCTAATATATATGTTAAAGTAGCAACGTCATGTTAAGGTTAGGCGTCTTCCCTATAAGTCACGCGATTGAAATAGACATGTATTTTACCTGATCATTTGATAAGTTACTTATATATACATGCACGTCTCCTTTTCCTGATGATGGATTACTGTTCTAAATTTTGAGACATTTTAACGTCAATGCTTGTGCTTTTTTCTTGTGTATTTCATATCTTTAATCTCTGTTAGGGATATCAACTACTTCTCCCTACCTTATCTCTCCAACTTGCTTAATTGCTATTTAATAGGCTGTACTTGCAGTTAGATTAAAATCATAAACCAAGCCCACGAGCATGCATGGAACGTACAATAAATGTGATGATCCCATCCGGAACAGGAGGAATAAAATTATGGCCACCTTCAGTTCAATGATTTGAATTTTCAATTCGATCTGAATTCAACGATTTGAATTTTCAATTCGATATGAGATGTGATTTTATGTGAGAGCTTTTAATTGTAGTAAAACAAGTTAGATGTGACTTTTTGTAAAAACTTTTAATTATAACAAAATTAAAATTGAAAATTTGAATTGATGAAATGAACAAGACCTGTATAAAAGAATCTCTGTCTTTTTTTTTTTTCCTTCTATTGAAATAAGAAAGACCCACTTGACAGCCATAAGGAATTAACCACGTTTTTCTTTTTGGCTAGAAAAATTTACCATGTTTGCTTCATGGTTGTTGCAGATGATCATTAATCAAACTTTCAACAAGAATCTACTAGTTGTCTCTTTTAGAAGTTATTAGCTCAGTTGTACGTCTCAAAGTGATACCCCATTTGACGAAGATAATAGTAATTTGTGGCCCCAACCAGTCGGTTGTGGGATTAAATTCGAACAGTGACAAAAAAGTACCTACTGGGAGAGAAAAAAAAAAAAAGGAGGGTAATAATTTATTGTATGATCCAAGCAAATGAACATGATCTTATACCCTGTTACCTAAGTATTAACAGAAAAATTTGTCCTTAATATTTAAGTCAAAATGTGTTCTCTCCCTTTTGTTGTCTCCTTTATTGCCTCCCCAATTCGTAGAAGATAGTCAAGTACTTCATAAAGAGAGAGAGTTTTACCTTTTTCAAGTTCTGTTTTGTATAGTCATATCTGTGTTAGTATTTGTCATTTTTTACATATTTTTCTTTTCTTATTTATGTAATTTGATCTAATCTAACGTTAAAAAACAAGCATTGCTGATAAGAATATCTTAGAGATGAAGAATTACTATAGGAAGAAATGACACAGCTAGAGACCAAAATTAAGAGGAGATAAACAAACCTTTAAAAGACATGCCCATCAACTTAGACTCATGTTGGCCGACATTTTGGGGAAAAAAGACAAAGAAAATGCTTTTGGGGAAAAAGAGACAAAGATCATGCTAACTTACATGTGATCTTTTGAAAAATTTTCACTGTGGATTATGGGAATGTATTCATTATATATAATAGCATGCTAACTTCATTATATTAGGTATCAGTGTGATATGATATGTTATTTTTACTTTTGTTTTGCATAATACTATTTAAAATGTTAAATTTACTTTCTCTCATAATCATTGATTTTTAAAAGTTATAAAAATACATTTTTATTTTTAAAATAATTAAAAAATGTAAAAATTGTAATCATTACCTGAAAAAGTAAATATTTTAACGAATAACAATCAAGTGTCAAATTTCACATATGTTATACTTAGTGAAAAAATTTTCATAAAATATAGCACATAAAAAATTTACCGCAATAAATATTATTGTATTAGATAGTATTTTTTACATTCAAATATTAAATTTATAATTGACCCATCAAATCAATTATATTTGTACCCTGAATTTGGAATGCTAGGCTTTTGAAACAGATTAGGGCAAAATTTCTTTTTGGGCTCATTAATCTCCATCGGGCCATTTGCAACTTGGGCTAGGTCATCTTTGGTGAGCTTCGGCGTGCAAGAGTTGTACACGGGTGGTTCTGCAGGTCGTATGGGTCGCCGCCGTCACAGTGGGTCTGAGCGGAAACGTCGTCGCCTCGCCGCGCTTCTCTATATTGTTGCCTTTTTTGAAACGTAACCTTGTGTGATATATCATGTCGTTTCTTGATATCTTCGTCGTTCTTAGGCCAGAGTCGTTTTAATGTCCTTTCTGTATTTTTGTCGTTTCAAAATGCCGTCATTTCCTATATCATTGTTTCTTGGCAATAGTTGTTGTTTTGGAGATTGTTGTCGTTTCTAGTTTTATGTCCTTCTTTATGTCGTTTCATGGTTTTTGATGTCGTCCATTTTATTGTCGTTTTCCGCTACAAAGCAAAAACAGCCACCTAAAACCCAGACTTCTCCCGAAACTAAACCCCCAGAAAACCAAACCACAAAGAAACCACCTCTCTCGCTCGCTCGCAGGCAACGCCCAACAAAAAGAAGAGAAAGCTCGTGATTTTCATTTCCCTCCGAAAATGGCGACCGCCATAATCCCAGAAACCGCAAAGAAGCTCTTAACTCCCGAAACCCTCCGCTCCGCCGCGAAACAGTCCGTTGGCTGCCTCGTCGTCCCCGTTCGCTTCCGTCGCGCCATCAAAAAGTACATCCGAGGTCTCTCTCTCTCTCTCTCCCCGTTTCTCTCTCTAAATCCATTTCTATCGTTGTTTTTTGTAAACATTTTTTGATGGTAGGTTTTGGTTTTCAGAGCAAGAGGACCCTCACACGAGAAACAAAGTACTGAGGCTGTCCCAATCGCTGAACGAAATCAAGGGGGCGAGCCTTCAGATAACGGCTGCGGCTTCGAAGGATCTCGTCGACGAGCGTCAATCAAGGCGGTGGAAGATTCAGAGCTCCTATGGCGACATTGGACTCAAGTACAGAGACGATCAGACCATCGCTTATGTCGCCTCTCGTATGCCCGCCGTCTTCTCCGCCTGTTACAGAGTTCTCTCCGAGGTAGCTACCTTTGGACTTTCAATTTTACCATCTGGGTGTTTTGGAATATCGTGAATTATGGTGAAAATTTTGAGAAAATGTTGTGTATGGATGAATTAAGCATAGTTGGGTTGGAAGTTCTAGTTTCCTAAAATTCTTGATTATAATTCGGAAACTTTGGTATTTGAGAAGTACATTTACTTAATGAATTATAGTATTTGTTACATGTGTAAATGCGTTTGATTGGTAGTGTCTGAGGGGGAGAGAGTTTTTGAAGGATGAAAAGAAGAGGATAGTTAAAAATGGGAATGGCACAAAAGCATTTTGGATCTTAAGGAAGCAATAATATTTTTGTTTTTTTAACTTGTACTATATGAAAATGGAATTGAGTCAAAGACAGTATTTCAAAAAAGAGGTTACCAAAAGCAGATTCTGGCGTTTTTTTTTTCTTCAATCCATATTCGTAAACCTTGATTTGAATATGAAACCTAACAGAATTGCTTTTGATTCTTTTCTTTAGAGCCATTGAGTCGGTAAATTTCCGTATATTTATACATGTTTCTTCAAAATTTATCTATATTCAGGTCCGCAGAAGACTGCCCAGCTTCTCTCCATCAACCGTGCTGGATTTTGGTGCTGGCACGGGTTCAGCCTTCTGGTGAAATTCATATATATACAGAACAACATGCTTATGAGATTATCATTATAATCTTTGGATTCCCTTAATATAAATTGGATGTCATAGGGCTCTACGAGAAGTCTGGCCACAGTCCTTGGAGAAAGTCAATTTAATAGAGCCATCCCAGTCTATGCAGCGTGCAGGCCGGAGCCTAATACAAGGTCTTCATTTTGAATTGAGTAATCTATTTCCTTTGAGATCATAGGGATGACGATAATGCAAATAGATGACCATATGATTATAACAACTGAGGTTATCTTTTACCTGTGATATAAAGTTGGATTATTTAAAATCATGTTTGTAGTTTTTCTTGACATTGAATTTTTTATGTTATTCAGTGTTATTTGGTATGTTCTGATTTTTTTTTTTTTTTTTTTTTTCAAAGTCCATGCAATAAAGAATCTATGGTGGACCAAAATTCTGACGGTGATGTATTATGAGTTTTAGGATTGAAGAACTTGCCACTTATTCATAGTTATGAAAGCATTGAAGCTCTATCGAAAAAAATTAAAAAGTCAGAAAGAAAACACGATATTGTGATTGCAGTAAGTTGTTTATTATCTTTCCTTATTATTTGTCTTTTAGTCACCATCTCCCTTCTTCTTCAACCTCATATGATCCTGTAGAATGAATTCTATGCCTTGGATATGTGACCTTTATGTCGATACTTATCAATTTCTTTTTCTTGTTTGAAGTCTTATGTGCTTGGGGAGATTCCGTCTTTCCAGGACCGAATAACTATAGTACGCCAGCTTTGGGAGCTTACACAGGATGTTCTGGTAGATTTTCAGCCCGTATGATTAATTTAAAATCTTACCATGAGAATACATGACATTGGCAAGAGAGAAATTAGTTATGATCTTGTATAGGATGTTATACTTGATGTAGAAAAAAAAAAACAAAGATTTCTCAAAATTTAATGTGTTTTAAGTGTCTCTGATTAATAATACCGGAGATTTGGTAAAATTGAAGGAAGAGAATGTTGTGAAAAATGCATCATGTAAGTTGTAACCTTTTTTTTTCCCCTAATTTTATTTCCTTTAACATCCAAATATTTTGTAGGTTTTGGTTGAACCTGGAACACCGCAAGGATCTAGCATCATATCTCAAATGCGATCGCATATATTATGGATGGAGAAAAGGGTAAATAGCTCTTCACTAATTTTTCTTAGGGACAAGGTTTTTGTTCTGTTTTCCAATGCCATGTTCGTAATCGTAGTTTTCTTTACCTTGTGTATAATATCTTGTTCACGATTTCTTAGAAATTGCGGAAATTAAAAGGCAAAAACGGTGAAGCTTCTAAGGACTTATTGGATCCAAAAAGTGGTGCATATATAGTTGCTCCTGTGAGTATAATAGCTCTTCACCCTTATTTTCCTCTGTTCTTAGCCCAAAACAAATTTACTGTCTTTTTTTATTTTATTAATTGTAGTTTTAATTGTTTCTTATGAAATTATTCTCTTTAATTGTGATGCAGTGTGCTCATGATGGGGCATGTCCGTTGGAGAAAACAGGAACTTACTGTCATTTCGTTCAGCGCTTGGAGAGGACGACTACTCAGCGTACATACAAGGTCTGTCCTAACTCATTAAATCATGTCCTACAGTGAGTATGCACTGTATTGCTTGCATAAAAATTATGTGATTTGAAATATATCCTAGCATAAGAAGTTTAAAAGTAGACATTCATTACTACGTGAAAAATAATACGTTTAAATTGACTATATATTCACTTGACACATATACAATGAGAAAAAGGAAACATATATGCAAAAGGAAGTTTGAACAAAACTAGATTTTGATCATTTGCTTGTAGCATGTTCAATTTGAGTTTTGACTCATTAGAAACATATGCGATCATGAAGGAATTTTAAGCTCTGTGTGTGTGTGTGTGTGTTTAAACCTTGTGTCTTAATGAGAATGTGTGTTGATGCTTGTCCTATAATACCAATAACCAGTAAATCTCCCATGGAGTAAAATAGTTGTCTTATTTCTCTAGTTTTGCTATTTTTCCCCCATCCTATGGTCATTTTGTTCAATTTTATTTGAAATGTCAACCGTGGCACCGAACCTTCAGACCCTTTGGTTTTCTGAAGCTGCATCTTGTTAAATGCTATGGGTTCATTTTGTTCAATTTTTTAACCTTTTCTGACTTGCAGTGATATCACAATTGGAGCAAATAAATCTTACTGATAGTCAACTCTTTTTTGTGGCCTTTGTAGCGTTCTAAGGGTAAGGTTTTACGTGGCTTTGAGGATGAGAAATTTTCTTTTGTTGCTTTCAGGAGAGGACAACGACCGAAGTGAGTTTTTCTTTTCAACTAGCATGCGTTAACATTTTTTAAATTAGTCATCTTTGACCATTTGATTTGAGGCGACTTTTACTTGCATATTAGTTTTTCAAAATATTTCCTAATTTTAGGTGTCGATGTGCAGGGAAGCTTGGCCACTTGATGGAGTGAAATTTGAGACATTGAAGGAACAGCTTGCTAAAAGAAAACCAGAAGATGTTGAAGTTGATTATGGTATTCTTTACGTCTCTGCAACCTTACTTTGTTTTACAAACTTCTCAGAAAATCTCCACGATGAATATGATTATTTTTCATGGATATATTAGCATCTTTTGACACTATATGTACATTTTAGTGCACTGGGAAAATTATAAACCACAAATTTCCCACTCGATATTGGTGTTTGACTTTACCAGATGACTTGGTTAAGCAACAAGAAGAACTTGCTGTTGTCCCATCTGAGGAACCCGACCCAATTACCTATGATTCTGAAGAAACGGAAATAACGGATGTTGAGGATAATGATGAGGCTGAAGAAGAAGAAGAAACAAACCGTGCTGATCTTGGGGGCGGTTGGGGTAGAATTATCTTTTCGCCTATTCGAAGGGGTAAGCAGGTTTCACTAAACGTTTGCCGATCGATGAAGCAGGATGGTTCAGAGGGTTCATACGAGCGAATAATCATCACAAAGAATAAGAACCCGATCTTACATCGTCAGGCTCGGAAATCCCTCTGGGGAGACTTGTGGCCCTTCTGAATTTTGAAAATCATCCATTCTTTCCCAGTAATTGTATATTAACTACTTAAAATATTATTAATTCAAATCCAATTTTGTTTTCTTCATTTGCCTTGAGAATAAGGTTCTCTAAATGAAGTACACTCACTCTTATGTTTACACTACCATCAACCCACTATAGTAAAGAAACCCCCCGAGTGTCAAGTCATATAGGACTAGTGCTCTTTTGAAGGCTCATTATTGGATTCCAAGATTGCAAATGAAACGGATTTGGTATCCTCTTCTAGCCATTTTTATCAGGTGTTTTTACATGTATTATTGGCTGGATTGGGATGATTTTGTGGTGGAAATGTGTGAGGTCATTATAGGCAAGAGGTGGAGCTTCAAAAGGAGAGAAATATTCCCTCCAAGTAGTTTGAATTTTGGTCTTTGATGCTGGCGTGTTATGTTAGGTGACGTTTTCAGTGGTCTTTGGTGGTGTTTTTCTCATTTTCCGAGGAAGATTTGCCTAAGAGATGAATACATGGAGTTTTGGAACAAACCAATGAGAAGATTTTGCTGACTTGGTATTTTTGGGTGAGTTAAAAGGAGAAGAGCCATGCATTTAGAAAGATATTTTGCCTTCTTTGGTGTATAAATGCCTTGAGATTCCTTAGAGGGCTGCACGTTTTTTACCAAAGGAGAGGAAGAAAGAAAGAACTATGTTTGGCTTCTAGTGCATAGGTGTGGTAAAAATGGGCCAATAGGATTTCTAGATTTTTGGTTAAAAAATTCTGAGTAATAAAATTGGGTTGGGTAATTTGTATTGGATTTGTCTAATTTCCTCCGCATGTTATCCTAATTCCTCATATACCCGATGCCTCTTTTAAGTAGGCCGAGCGTTTAATTGAACTAGATAAAATGGGTCAATTTATTTTTCTTGGCCTTCCAACCCACGGCCATGTAAAGGCTCCCGAACGTGGCTTGGGTCCACGTACCATACCTTGAGTCGTGTTGCGGGATTTGGGCAGATTCCATAACGTGTGATTTTTCGAGCATCAACACATGTCTTCCTCTTCTTGATCTTCTACTTTCAAGTCTTTTCATCTTTTACTAGTGCTTGGCCTCGATGTCTCCTTCAAGTCTGAATTCAACGGCAATCTCCCAATAGAAATCTCTCATCTCTCCAAGTTGGTCTCCTTCCGTCTCTCTTAATAATATCCATTTTCTTGTTAACATTAGGGCATCCACTTTCAAAGCACTGGCTCACAACCTAACCAACCTCGAAGAACTCAATCAACAGAGTACTAACTTGAATTTTATTCCGTCTTATCTATTTTATGAATTTATCATCTTCTCTGACATCTCTTGATTTTGACAGTTGCAATTTGCCTCCGAATATGCCAGAGACCATTTTCCAATTGCAGGAACCTCCAAGAGCTGCTCGTGTTTGTCCAACAATCTTGCATTTAGTGGATCTCTTCTCGAGTTTAAATTGAGTAGTCTAGTTAGGACGTTGGATCTCTCTTTTTAACTTATTTCTCTATTGACTTGAGTTATCTACTCAAAAAGGTCAGGTCCTTGTCACATTTGTCTCTACGTCAGTGCCATTTTGTTGGGTCATATCCCACATTTCATGGTAATCTCACACAAATTGTTTCTACCTTTCAGACAACTATTTTCCTTGCCATATCCCGTGGTCGTCTTTCGATCTTAAGAAACTCCGGTTCTTGGATGTTTCATTCAATAATTTCATTGGCCAACTTTCAGAATATCTAGTGGGCAACATTTCTTCAAAAAATACCAACTCAGCCCAGCCCATCTATCCTGGCCCATTCTCTTTGGGCCCGTGCCGGTCATGGGCCCAACCCTCAGCCCAGCCCATTCCACATGTCAATTTTTCGTGCGCCATGCCATAGGCCGCCATGGAGTGATCCATATGAGCCTATTTATAAGTCATGATGGGTTAGACTATCTTAGTCCATCATCCATCATGAGTTTAAAAGTTTAGATGTGATGAGTCCATCTTGACACGACATTTTGTTAATTTTATTATTTTAAAAAAAAATATTTATTATTAAAATTTTAAATAAATTAACAAATATGAATAGTTAATAGAAATATAAAAAAATATATTTTATTTATGTCTTATTCTAAATATTTTCAAGTAGAATCCACTGAAACAAAATCTGAATAAAGATAAAGGGGTACGTTTACAATAAAAGGGTACATTCATAATAATTAAAAAGTTTATATATGCATATTTTTGAACGGTGTAAGCGGTTTAAAGAATTTAAACCATCGCCAAAAAAAACTAGAATAAGTATTAACTAAACCGTTTAATAATTCAAAAACAATTAACGATTTGACATAATTTAATTTAATTCAGTGGATTTTTTGAACACCCCCTAATTCGAACGGCTCTCCGAGCTCGAAGAGCTCTCTCTTTCTGGCAACAACCTCGTTGACCAAATACCAGCCGAGACAGTTGACTGCCGAAAGCTGGAAATCCTCAACCTCGGAAACAACAAGTTTTCAGGGGAAATTCCTCCGAATTTGTCGTCGCTGATATGTCTGAGTTTCTTGAAGTACTTTCCCAACCTGGAAGGACTTTCTATTGCGAACAATCTCTTCGCTTGGAAAATCCCAGCATCCATTGGCTCAGTTCGCAATCTCAGGGTCTTTAACTTCTCTGGAAATCAGTTTTTGGAAGGTTCACTGCCACAGTTGAAAAGGGTTGAGCCATCCCATACTGACCGTCCAAATACAAGATGGGATCCCTTCGTTAGGATTGATAGGAAAAGGAGGCCTAAAGTGTATGTTATTTAGCTTAATTAAGACTTTATTTATTTCACCTATTTAAGTTTAGAATTTAAATTTTATTACAGTACGTATCAACTCGAATCAGCGAACTAAACGGACCTTAAATGATACGGGTCTCTCTATCTGGCTTTGCTATATTAGGCTATATAAATATTAATTTCAATATTATCTATTATGCACCGTCAATTTGATTCCTCATTCGAATGTGTTTTACATAATTTGTCTTCACTCATTCAGAATGCATGTTTATCTGGATGCCTACAATGTGCCTCCATGCAAATATTTCTTCTCAGTCCTATAAATAATAGTTCTTCAAATGTGGCATTAATTAACTTTTTCCTTAATTGTTGTGCTGAAATAACTTTTCTCAAATGCGCATATTTAAACAATATTTTTTCTATAAGCCTTTCAAACAATATTTTCTTATTATTGTTCGATTTCTGTATATTTATGAAATAATAAACCCAAAAAAAAAAAACAAACAAACAAACAAAACTTTTAGAAAATTCTGCATCCGCCTGCTTCCAACCAGTCCCATGTATAGGATGATAAAAATAATTATAAAAAAAATTGAGAGAGAGGAAAATAAACCAAGACTTGAAATGAATTAAAATTAATAGGTTAATAGTTTACATAAGTTAATAAATATGCCAAATTACTGTTTTTGTCCATAACTTGTCTGGTTATGAACCATAACTTGACAAGTTATTGTCCATAATTCACAATTTTTGTCCATAACTTGTCTGATTATGAACCATAACTTAACAAATTTGTTCATAACTTATCTGGTTATGAACCATAACTTGACAAGTTATGGTCTATTAATTTCTATAACTAAAAATTGACCTATATACTATTTCAAGCTTTTCATATTGGCCTATTTTCTACTATTTTTGAAAAAAATTAGTGAATGATAGGTAACAAAAGCCTCGTTCGTTTTGTTAATTCGAATCAAAACTCAAATTTTTACTATAATATTTTCTTTTATAAGAATTTAAATTTAATTTTTTATGCTACAGTATTTTCTCACACTTAAATTTACTTTTTAATTTAAATTGAAAAATCAAATTAACAAAAACAAAATAGTACTAAAATCTCATAATGCTCTTACATGGCATGGTTCCGATAAATCCAAAATATACCACAAACTGAGGACGCACAATAGAACATGGGAACTTTTTACCGATAGTACGTGCTTCTAAAAGTTAGATTTGATTAAATTCATAGCATAAAACTGACAGAACTGATACATAAATATAGCTGGGATAATAAGGAAACAAAAATTCCATAAATGAAATTTGAATAAACATACAATCATTCCCGTATAAAGGTATGAGGAAAAGGCCCACAGACAAACTGTATTATGCACACAACTTTGTAGTCTTCGTATACAAATTACAAACACAAGGGACCATTGCCACATGCAACCTCAACCAATCTTGGGCTGACAGTCCTTGAGTAACAAATCAAAGAATCGTATGATTGACCTGTATTATATCCATGGAAAACAATACAAAACAGAAGGATAGCAACGCCCAGCCAGCCAATCAAACTGAACCGGTCTGGGTCTACAGTTTGGATTAGACAAACCGCTGCTTTCTGTGTTATTATCTGACTTGATCTTGTTTTTATATAAATACACTTGTTAATCCCTTAGTCCCTTAGTCATGAATAAACGAACCCCTTTTCAATAGACTGTTATATATCTATATTGCATTTGCGTATATGCATATACAACACAATTTGATTCTAAACTAACTGCTTTTTGCAGCAATGTGAAATTGCCGCTGTTCGAGAAATACCAACCTATCGTGAAACTGAAAGGTTTCATATGCGAATTGGCAGCCCGTAATTGAGGAAGGTTCTAATCCGTCCATCCCAGCCGGCGGTTACTATCACAAGACCCCACATGTGAGGAGAACCGGACATACTCTGCAAAGCGCTCTTCAAGAACCTGAACTTGGAGGTAAGCGTTGTGGGAGAGATTGCCATGGGACTTGAGTTGACAAGTTTTTCTTCGGGCCAAGTTGCGGTTCCCTTTGGCAAGGACTCCAGAAACCCACGGAAACAATCGGGCGAAGAGATGGGCACTTTCTGTTGTGGATGCTCCTCAAGATAGGGATGCTTTTGACCATGCTCGAGTCCACTTCCTCGCGTGTCCCCAATGAGTGCTGGGGATGGAATTGCATCCGGTGTAGTTTTTGAACCACACCAAGGTATTGCAATCGATGCATTGTGCGACAGGAAACTCTCAGAAGACCATATGTTCTTTGTTCGCGAAGAAGTCTTCTCTTGGTTCGTGTAGTTCCAGATGTAGACATTTGAATCCTCGGTTGCCGAGACAATGTGTTTCCCATCTGAAGTAAATGATGCAGGCATCTGGCTTCCTGCATTTCGAACACCTAAACACAGAGAAGAAAAGAGATAAAATTAGGTTTCATCAAAATAGGAATTTTAAGCAAAACCACATAAGAAAGATCATAAAAGTTAGTGGTAACTAAGGAAACCTATCTATCAACAAAGCAGATGAAAGAACCAAGATCTCACATTGACAAGATATAAAGTTAGCACGCACCTCTAAATTTGCAGATGACATTGTTCCCACAGACTATACGGACTAACGAATCGGCAGAGGTGACCATGACTTTGTTTGAGTCACTTGGAGTAAACTGAAAACTCAGAAGTTAGTACTCGGTGGGTGCAAGAGCAAGAAGGTGAAATGCAATCTCACTTAAACAAAATGACTTTTTAATGATTCAACAACCTGAAATCCAGTAATCCTCTTGCCTGCTGACTTCTTTTTTCCTTGTAAGAAAACTTGAGCATCCAATTGCAGACAATTGTCTACAAACACGGTTAAGATGAACTTGAAAAAGGAGGAAAAAATATCCAATCATTTAAATGAAATCCTTACAACAAATTTAAGGATTTCTTTACACATCTAAATCCAGATTAAAGATGCATCACACAAAACTTCATGCTTGCTAGTCTAGATTAAATACATCAAATGGTATCAGAGACCAAACCGATTCCTTTTGTCTATCTATTCCACTATTTTCTTCCTCAAAAAAATCAAACCAAAACACTTCAAACTTGGCTTGGATCCAAATCTTCTATTAGTGCTAAGCAAATATAAGCTTTAGTGAAGTAGCGGAATAGTGAAATGAATTTGGTTTATACCTATGATATTATAGAAAAGACAGGTGCCCGTCATGGTGCCAACAATTCCCCCCTGCAAGTATTCCAATCGACCCGTTAGATGTAAGATTAGTCAAATAAATTGTAATTATCGCGCTTAAGTTATCATTTCCAAGGAACAAATCCTCTGACAGACCTTTCCATCAGGGCGATAGGACACAGCAGTGACTATCTCTCGAATATCAATGTAATCAACAACCCGACAGCGACGAACTTCCCAGATGCGAACTTTTCCATCTATTGAGCCACTGATGAAATAATTATCGTCCAGCGGATTGAAATCAACACAAGTTACTGCATCAACCAAAACAATTTAATGAATAAGCAATCTGAACCAAATTGAGGAAAAACACTGTTTGGCAGGACAGCTATATTGATCTACCAAAAGCAACAAAAGGCTCACCATAATTATTATGAAAAAAAACTCTAAGGCATCTATCACTTCCCACTTGCCACAAACGAACCGTCTGATCAATAGAAGATGAGAGCAGAAACTGCAGGACATATAAATAACATAAAAAAAGACATTGATATCAGAAAGTTCAGCAACTGATAAAAACAAAAAACAAGCACACTAATGAAGAAGTACAAAACAAGTTCTTTAAGTTAGAGCAATGTAAAAGCTTTCAAGTAAAGGGAAATGCTAATGCTAGGGATCCCAAGTCATCCACCAAACTTTTTGCGCCAAATGATGCGGCAAGACTTAAAAACTTTCAATTCTCAGTATACAACTGTCCATAAACATATACAAAAATTAGAATATGACACTTCACTTGCCACATCATTCCGAACAAAAATCACCTGGGATTCCTAGTATTTTCCTCAAGTAAAACTAGGATAAATAAATAGCTCAAAAAAATTGCTTGCTTATGATGATACTGAGTTACTAACCCCTTTGCTTGACCATGAGAGATCCAACACTTCACCGCTATGTCCCCGGAATTCATGCAGAGGCTTGTCCAGTATATTGAAGATTGTAGGAGGGAAAATGATACAAGCTGAATTGGACGATCTCCTTAACTTATTTACCTTACTGTGTTTCTCTTTATCCACCTCCAAAGGACTTAACTTGGACAAGTGATCAATTGTGAAACACTGGCACGAAGAATCACCAGCAACGTCGAATTTCTTTGACCTCTCATCTTCATTCACTTTCCATACACGCACGATACCATCTTCACCGGCACTTGCCAAGTAATGTCCATCAAGACTGAACTTCATTTTAAGTATCGAACCCTCGTGCGCTTTAAACTCTTGTCCAGCATGAAGGCAAGAGAGTTCCTTGGTCCGCTTTTTGTATGGATAGACCTGAACCCTCTGCATCCCCGTTCCGATCTTCGGCTGAACATCACCGGGACTAAGAACAGCATCTCCATTCGTATCGACAACGCACATCCCAACACCTAATCTTCTCAGCCAACCCTTCTTGACTTTCTTTCTGACATCAACAAAGTACCTAGCATCCTCAACCGAAAGAGACCGGCTGTGGTCTCTCCGAACCTCCTCAGAGATTCCCGATTGCTCCGAACGGGCTACGCATAACCTGCCGACCATTCTATCTAGGCCAAATTCCTCCTTCAAAAACTCCGGTCCGTCATTCGAATTCCCAACTTTACACGAGAAATTCTCTTGCAGAGCACCGTTTTCCATCGAATCCGAAGCCTCATTCGATGAGGAAGACACGCTACTAGACTCGCTCAACGATATCACCTCTTTGAAAACCGAAAGTCTGAGCACAGTCCCACTGTTTTCCTTAACTCTATCAACATCCAATTCAATCTCATCACAAGAAAGTCCTCTTCTTTTGTCCTCATTCGCAATAAAATCCTCAGTCAAATCCAAACCCATCCATCTCAAGAACTTCCTACGCCTCTCCATAACACTACCCAGTTTCTCAGCCCAAACCTCGTACCTTAATCTACTCGAAACACTCGATTTACAGTCCTCGGAGCAATCAGAATCCCATTCAGACACAGAAGAAAGGTCCTCACGAGCATCATAAAATTGATCCTCTCTCTCATCACTTAAAATGAAACTGCCCATCATTTTTTTTTCCTAAATTTTTCCAAATTATTTTGCTCTTATCCCATGAGATCGGAGATCCTGACCCAAAAATAGTAGGAAAAACAATCAATAATTTCAAAATCATATATTTTCCCACGACCCAGAATCTATTAAACCAGCCCCAATAAAGATCTGAACAAAAATTCTCAAACGGTAACAAATACGATAATCCCAATTCAGAAACGAACAAACATATTTGAGAAACAGAATGATGGGTTTTTTTTTTTTTGGCTCACCTGGGCCACCGTGAAACTTTGGTGAAGACCCAGAAATCCACTCTCCGCATAGGGATTTCCACTTTCCCAAATCCTCTCTCTTTCTCTCTCTAGTCTCTGCTATTCTCTCTCTCTCTCTCTCTCTAAACTCTCTGTTTCTCTCACACCCACTTGCGGAGGCAAAGAATATTTGACAAAACGAAAACTTATAAATCAAAACAGAAATTGCCTCGATGTGGGTGCTAGAAGGAAAGAGGAGGAGGGCAAAGTCACAAGACTCGAGAGTGAAAAGTGGTGCTTGTTTGTGTTGTGTCTTCCAGAAATTATTTCTTATTACTTTTATTTTGGGAGTATTTTTGTAGGATCATAAAAAATTACGAGTATTTTTTATTTTTAATTGTTAAATTTATATTATAAATGATTTATTCTGTATATTTTTTATATAATTTGATTTTAATTAAAGATTGGTCTACTAATAAAGAAGTCGTAAGGAGAAAGTCTCTTTATTTTAATACAATTGTTTTATGAAGAATTTTTTTTTTTTATACACACAAACAGAAAACATACACGATCTCATCTTGTAAATCGATATTGTTTGCTATAGACCTCGGCGTTTTTCTTGAAGGCTTCGAATTTTTTTTTTTTTTTTTTAAAATACTTCGAATATAATTTTGATGTGATTTGTGTTAAAAAACGTTATCGCACTAATAGAATATTTTTTCATCGGATCTTCTTCAGTACGTCAACATATCAGTAGACTTATATCCGTCAAATTTACATAAAATTGCATAAGAATCAAAAAATACGTAAATTTAACGGTTAAAAACCAGATCTACAGGTAAGTCAGACGTACTAGAAAATCTTCATTTTTCTATATTATTTTTATTTTATTATTGTTATTATTTCCCTTATTATTAATTTAATAAATGTAGTTCTCTAGGAGTTTGTAGCTCGCTTTCTCTCCTTTTCCTAAAGAGTGTGTCTGATTCAACAATCTACCGGTTGGTAATGTAATGTTGTGTTGGCTCTTTTTCCCTCAGATTTGGTTGGTTGGTCCATTATATTTTAAGATTTTATTTAAAATAAAAAATAAATAAGTAAAAAGTGGGTTTTTGTTGTTTGTTTTAAGATTTGGTCTTTGTTCTAATTTGGATTCTGAGCTTCGTGTGACTTTCCATTTCCATAGTTGTTTCACCCCACAAGAGGCCGGGTCAAACATTGAAACTTCTTCTTTATTCTGTGATTATTTGGAAGAGAAACAAAAAAAGTTGACATTTTGTAAACTTGTTACAAAAAAATTTTCCTGAAAAACGTATGACGGTAAACCTTTATAAGTTCTATTTAAATTCATTTAGATTCTATTTAAATTCTTGTTGCACTTATTTAATGTCAATTCATAAAATGAGTTGTTATCATGTAATTGATAGAGTTATCATATTTTAACTAACGAAATTGGGAAACGACCACTATGTTGATAAAAACAAATTAGACGTGTCATTTTTATTTTTTATTTTTTCTATACATCAAAAAGGCCTAATTATAACGCAAAAATGATTTTTCATGTAAGGTGTGTTTTTATATCTTGCCATAAAATTCTATTCATATGAAGTGTCAATGGACAATGGATATAGCTTTTATGGAGTTGTTTGGACAAACAGTAATGAGAGTATTCTTTATAAGAGCTTATATGTGTAGTTTTTGCCTCGGTTAGTTTAAAAAAAAAAAAAAAGGGTATACAATTTATGGACTTTCAAATTTAACGATAAAGTTGTGTATTCATAATAATTATTAAAAATGCCATGTACACTTTGCTATAACTTTACAAGATAACGAGATAATGAGTGCGTTTGGAACTCATTCTAAAATGAATTTGTTTTTTGTATGAAAATGAAAACAAAAATGCTTTCAATCGCAGACATAAATCACTTTTGAAGATGTGTTTGGTAGTTTTATCAATAGATTATTTTCAGTATAAAAAAATCTATTAATGTCTCACTCTATATGCTCGACAGAGGAGAAAATGAAAATAAAAAATGAAAAACGATTAAAAGTCATTTTTTATTTCTCTCTCATTTTACACTAAACTAAAAAATCGTTTTCATTTCCGTTTTTTGTCTTTAATTGTGTCAAACGTCAATTATCTCCCATTTTTATTTTTTTCTTGAAAAACGTGAAAAATAAAAACAAAACTAACTCCAAACACGGCCAACATGTCATTATCCAAAGATAAATAAGTTATCAACTTTAATCGCCTTATTTTTCCCCACAATTTCAACTCTGAGCTCTTTCCTAAATTTTGTTACTTTTTAGAGAGAGAAAAATGCCTAATATTATAATTAATAGAATACGAGCTTAAAAAAAAAAAAAAAAAAAAAAAAAGAGGAGGAGCCTCAATTATAAAATTGAAAGAACGTTTGGAAAGTATACTTAAACTATAATTATTAATTTTAATGTTTAAAAATCAAATTTTTTGTGAAAAAAAAAACACTATAGTAGAATTAATAATTTGAGTATCACTATATGAAACAAACTAACCATTACTTATATTTTGAGATCCACTTTTAGTCCCATAACATTATTGTTATATATATATTTATTTATTTATTTAGAGAAATATTAGTGTTATTTTGTATGTTATTTTTTTATCACTTTATTTATTTATTGACTTGATATATTATTATTCAAATGCGATTTGTTTAGCTACACCTATCTCAAAGTATCATTTCTAATACATCTGTGGGGCAAGCTCGGACAAATTGAGTACACCCTATGCACGTATCATAAATCTTTGCATTGATATGTTTAGTTTGAATTGTGTTTACTAATGACTATTTGTTGATGATCATGTTTTATTTTTATTGTTTATGTTAATCACAGCTAAAAAACCCGTCTAAACTGTCTAAATTTTAAGCATCCATAAATGACATTTTTCACAAACTGTCATATACAAAAACCGCTCAAACCTGCCCATACCGCGCGCCGTGGACCCCTGATTAATAGCCAAAGTGGGGACAGAAAAACGTAAGTTGACCGGTGAAAGACTATTCGGCAAGCTTTTAGTTGAACGACTTGTGGTTGTTAGTGCGACGCGTCAACAAACAAATTCGTTGACTTTGAACTTCTGGTCATTATGTTCACACATAATATGGCCAACATATCTTAATTCCATTCAATGGACTGTTTTTTGACATTTTTAATTCAACTTATGAAATTAAGGGTCAGAATTAATTTTCTCTTAGACGAAATTAAAAGGGTAAGATTATAGCACAATCTTTTATTTTTTTATTTTTGCTTTCTTTTGAAAGGGTATTTTTGGATAATCAAAAAAATTCATTAAAGCAAAGAGTAGGCACCAAAAGTTGAATACTTTAGAGGCACAAAACTAAACATAACAAGTTTTAATGGCAAAAACCAAAATCACCCAAGCTATTGAACCAAGGTCCATCTCTATTAGCACTCCCTTAAACATAAATTGCCTAGAGAAGAAAAATAAAAACAAAAAATATTACCGCAAAAATTTTGAGCACAAACGACATACTTTCACCTCACAATATTCATTATATTTTAATCTATATAATAATATATTCTACTTACATCCTCTAGTGAACTGCGGTCAATTAGATTAAGAGCCGTTTAGTTCGTTGATTCGAGTTTTTAATTTGAGTTAAAATGTGATTTTATGTGAGAATTTTTTACTGTATAAAAAAATTAAATGCGACTGTTTCTAAGAGCTTTTTACTATAATAAAATTTGAATAAATTAAATAAACGGGGCCTAGACACCCCTCACGTGTACCTAAAAAAAACATATAAGTGATCTCATAATCGTGGCCGTTCAAAATCAATCCAATAACTAATTTAATGTGCTGAAGGCACAATTTCAAATGCCTAGACAATTCATATATATATATATAATAGATTAGTTATAATAGATTAGTCTGACTTCGTCAGCTCCAACCACTATTAAATCTAACTTTGAATGGGGCACTCAAAATCCACTTTTAATATTTCGTAGAAACTACCACGGCATTTCTGAATATGCATGATATTCTTGCTTTTCTTTTCAGGAAATCGGACCAGTTTGAGTGTTTGACTTCTGACCTAGATTTGCAAGACCAAATAAACACATCCAAATTTACTAAAAAAGAAGAAACGGATAAACGATAAGTATTGTGATAAATGTATTTGTTTGTTGGAACAAGATAAAAGTGATTTTTTTTTCCTTCTTTTTTTTTGAGGATCTTAAAGAAATGGATCGAGACTAGACATTAATATGGTGGATGGAAGATGATGGCGACTATTGAGACTTGGTTGGGACAACTTGTTCAAAGTACCACGGCTTGATTTTTTTTTTTTTAGTATATTTAATTTTCTTCGGTGGAAAAAAATAATAAATTATTACATTTATTGGTGGGGTGTAAGCTGTTTTCGACAGCTTCAAAGGCAAACAAAGATGGAGGTGGACCATTGGTATACAATTGCTTCTCTTTCAAGTCTCAGCAAACAGTGTTTTTCATTTTGTATTTGTATGCGCATAGAATACCATAGTGCATGGCATTCGAAAAACATATGCACCTGCAGACACGTATATATAGATAATTAAATGGTAGAAATTTTTCCAACCAAAAGAATTTATAGCGAGTGATAGTAATTTTCCAACCAAAAAGAATTTATAGTAAGTGCTAACCAAAAAAAGAATTTATAGTACGTGACAGTAATATTTTGCAACCAAAAGAATTAGTGGTACGTAATAATGTATATGAAAGGTTTCTCAACCGTGCTTCGTCGGAACCGCCGCCAAAGCCCAACCACATCTGCAGATTGACGAGAAGCAGCCGTGGTTCGTCGAGGATCAATCTCCACCGGAGTCATTTTCTGTTAGGATAGGTGCTTATAGGAAATATATACATTGTAGGAATTAAAGTTTCATACGTATATTTATATTAATAGTTCAATTAATAAATTGCATGTTATTATAATATTGAGTAAATATCATAAAGCTCAATAACTCTATATATGTATACTTTAATTATGTATGCAATTTCTATATACAAAAGGATATAGTTTACAATCAGTAAATCAATTTTGGGCATTTAGTAATAATGAGATTCTAGTTGTTTATCTCTATTTGAAATGGAATGATTTCACACTACAAGAAAAGATGTATTTATTGACGTTAATAATTTTTAACGCTTTTATGTTGTCAGAAATATTCACACTTATCGACGCTATTTTAAAAAGTTAGCGTCGGTAAGTTTATTTGGTCCTTCACCGGGCGGATTTCATTGACTAGAAACTTCCCGAT